AGAAAATGATGGAGGAGGGGGAGGAAAAAGAACTGGCTCTCGGGGCTCTCTGGACAATATCCATTGGAGCAGCACCGGGAGCACTCAAAAACACTTTTGATCAGAAAAAATTGGGTACACATTTTGAAGCGACCAGAATGACCATGAGATTTTCGGTGGATGACCTCTATTAGAAGGGCATGGCTGGGGGAGGGGAAATTGGCTCAAGATAGCGTTATTCAACCCTGAATGAATTGAAAACATCAGATTTTCAGATTTCGGCTGGAACGAACAAAAATGGACTGATTTGGCTAAATATTTTCAAAAATTCGCTAAATTTTGCCAAAAATTGATGAAATTTGACCAGACTTTGGTTCAATTTGGCTCAAAATGGACGTATGTTGTGGGAAACGTTCGAAATGCACGAACCTCTATTAGAAGGGCATGTCAAAAATTTGAGAAGTGTTGCTCAGACTGGAAAACTGCTAAATACTCTCAAGCAGCAGGAAACTCTATTAGAATGGCACTCTATTAGAAACGGCAAAAATCTAAGGGCCCCCAACAGGGATGTGCGAACATTTTTTCGGTTTTTTCGGATAAGAAATTCTCGAAAAAACTATCGCCGATAAATTTTTAATCCGAAATTTTTATCGAGAAATTGATAATTCACTGGCGATCTCTGAGAAAAAATTCTGAAAAATGAAACTTTTTGGCCAATTTTTGAAACTTTTTGTTGCTTTTTGTTGAAATGGTCGAGACTGCAATAGAAACATTTCATTTACTTTCCAAAAATTTTTTCCGTTTTTTTTTTCGATTTTTTCGGTTTTTTCGGGCAAAAAATTCCAAAAAAAAGTTATTGGTCCCCAAAGATTTTTTTAAGTCTGCAATCTGACGTGACGGTGTTTGCAGAATCGGCATTGTATTTTACGACAGTTCCAGTTTTTTCTGATAGAATGGCACATGGTCAAGTTGATTCTCCAGGTGCAAATTCCTACACAAAAAAACCAAATTTTCAAAAAAAAAAAGGCTTCATTATATGAAATGGGAAAGAAAATGACTGAAATGGGTATACAGGAAAATGGGTAGAACCGAAGGGAATTATGAAGGAGAGTAGTAGATCAAAAATCGGTGACAATCCTTCGTTGATGTTGCATTGGTGGAACGATACGAGAGGGGGCGGCACAGCCGTTCTGGGAGAATTTTCGGGGGTCCTGAAAAATTGGAATGTTGATTTTTGGAATTTTGGACTGCACTAATACCAGAGGGAGCCTCATATCTCAGTTAGGAATTGAGATATCAAAAAGTTGTCAACTAATAAAGTGCGCAACGTGCAATTTTAGATTTTTTTTTCCAGTTAACAACTTTTTTGTATTTCTTATAGAAGCTGAGATATGAAGGCTTAAAGGAAGTGCGTTTTATTCCAAGCATCTCCGCATTAAAGCGCTGTTTAGAGCGTTGTATCTCGGTTCGGAAGAAAGGTATCAAAAAATTGACAATTAATGAATTGCTCAAAATCAAAGTGTACACATTCCTTTGGTTGACAACTTTTCAAAATATTTACTGGGAACCGAGATATAACGCGTCAAATTTTCTGTGGCTCACTACGTTGCAAGTGCGCTTCCTGGCTGACTTGGAAGCTTCATATCTCGGTTAGTAATAAAAATTTCCAAAAATTGTCAACTAATAAAATGTTAAGCGTAAAGTTTTACACATTTCATCTGTTGACAACGTTTTTGTATCTTTTACGGGAAATGAGATATTGGGCTTGGAAGTTATGTTTCAGGCTATTCTGACCCTCCTGTGGCTTCGGCCAATTTGTCTAGCGCGAGAGACGCAGACACCTAGACTGTCTAGCTGTCTGCGTCTCTCTTTCTCTCTTTCCTTCAATGCTCGTTGGAGAGGCGCAGACAACGAGAGACTCTTGCTGTCTGCGTCTCTCGTCTCTCGCCTTCGAAGATCTCTGGAGAGAAGGTGAGAGAGAGATATAGAGACGCAGACATCTAGACTGTCTGGCTGTCCGCGTCTCTCCTCTCTTACCTACGAGGCTCTTTGGAGAGGCGCAGACACCCAGACTGCTTGATTCTCTCAACTCCGAAATTCTTTGCGAGACGCAGACAGCTAGACCGTCTAGCTGTCTGCTTCTCTTCAGAATAGCTTGTACAGATCACTCACCTCAAAATGATGTGGCATTTGCCGAACTGCAGGCTGTGGTGGCGGCTGCTGTGAGAACTTCCTTTGCTCTGCTGCACTACTCATTCTCGGAATTTTCGATGTGGACGCCGTCTGATGGGCGGGAAGTGGTGGTGGATGAGAAAATGAAGAGGATCCCGATACGACGGGACGTGGAATATATGAAGAAGTGGTTGGAGACGTCGTGGAAGGATCCATAGTTCCAATGGTGCCAACAGTGATTTTAGTGACATGAGATTGATTGGAAGTTGTGGAAGAAGATGATGTGGAAGTGGACGGAGGATCCATGAATGGATTATTATTATTGTTTAGATGGAGTGGTTTTTTGAGATTCGGTGATGATGGAATTGGAAGATTTGAAGAGGAAGGGGCGGGGAGCGGGGGTAGAGGGGGCTCCGATAGGGCATGGGGGCGTGTCTGTTGGAGCTCGGCGGCTCGTTGTTGTTCCATTATCTGAAAGGAAATAATTTGGTAAAAATTTGGAAATTATGGGTGAGGCAATCTCGGCGTCTTATCTTGCGATAGATTTGAAAACGGAAGGGAAGAGACTCAGACACCTAGACTGTCTAGATGTCTGCGTCTCATCAAAAGGTTCGAGAGTGAGAGACGAGATGCGCAGGCAGTCAGACAGTCTGGGTGTCTGCATCTGAATAGTTCCGACGCTGAGAGAAAGAAGAGACGCAGACTCTTAAATCGTCTAGCTGTCTGCGTCTCCTGGTCTCTCACCTTTGGAGCTGTTTTGAAGAGACGCAGACAATCAGACAGTCTGGATGTCTGTGTCTCTCTCAACAAGTCTCGTAGGTTAGAGAGAAGACTGACTGTCTAGGTGTCTGCGTCACTCCTATCTCACCTTCGAAGCTGTTTTGAAGAGACGCAGACAGCCAGATTGTCTAGCTGTCTCCGTCTCTTCACTCTAGCCTACGTAGCTTTTTAAGAGAGAGAGAGAGAAAGACGCAGACAGCTAGACGATCTAGGTGTCTGCGTCTGTCATTTTGGCAGGGTACACTACAAAAACCACAAAAAACCATAGCCCAACAGACGAGTCTCTTGTTTTCTGCGTCTCTCCAGAAGTTCTCGACGATGAGAGACGCTGACAACAAGAAAGTCTAGTAGTCTGCGTCTCTCTAATAGAAAGCGTTAGACACAGACAGCTAGACAGTCTATCTGTCTGCGTCTCTCATTCTAGATCATCTAGCTTACCTGCTGCCTCATCTCCTGCCTCTTTGCATCCCTAATCTGTGCATTCGTCACATGACTCTGCCTGGGACCGTATCTCTGACTGGGTCTCCTCTCAAAAGAGCATGATTGTCTTCTGGATAACCGTGCTCCTTCTTTGTGAATTGTCTCATATTCCGTTCGTCCTCTGTACTTAAAAGTGCTTCCCAATCGGAAGAATTGCATTTTACGATTCGGTTGAATTGGGCGGGATTTTAGACGGAAGAAGGCGTGTTGCTCGATGGCACATTTCCAAAAGTGCTTAGCTGCTTTTTCGGATGTCAGGTGGAAGACGAATGTGTGCAGTTGGATTTGTCCGTTGTTCTGGAAAGAAATTGTTGGATATACATGGCGCATTACTTCTAAGCTTAATATCTCAGCTCCCAGAAGAGATAGAAAAAAGTTGTCAACTAATAAAAAACGCGAAATTGTATAATTAACATTTTGTTCGTTGACAACGTTTTCCTATCTCTACCCGCAATCAAGATATAAAGCTTCAAGCTAGAGGCTCCAAATGCTGCCTCACAGAAAAGGTGTTTAGAATGGTCCTAAGTTTGACGCTCCGTATTCGGTTCACAGATAAGATAGAAAAAAGTTGTCAATTAATAAAACATGTCAAATTGAAAGCCAAACATTTTGTTAATTAACATTTTTTTCATAGCTCTATCCCCAATCGAGATATAAAGCTTCAAACAAAAAGCTCCAAGTGCTACCTCAAAGGAATGGGTAAGAACAGTCTCACGTTGGATGCTGTATAACTCAGCTCACAGTGAGAATAGAAAAAAGTGATCAACTAATAAAATATGTATAATTACAAGCTAAACATTTCATCAGTTGACAATTTTCTGATACCTCTCTTGCCAACAAAGATATAATGCTATGAACAGAAGGCTTCGAGAGTTGCTTCAGGAGGAGGGGTAAGAAGGGCCTTAAGTTTGACGCTCCATATCTCGGTTCCCAAGAAAGATACAAGCAAATTGTTAACTAACAAAATATGCAAAATCGCATGATAAACCTTTTATCAATTGACAATTTTTTCATATCTCGACCTGTAATCGAGATATAAAGCTTCAAACTATTTTATTGGGCTCCTTTGCTTTTCTAGACCATTTCAACCATTTTCGATCAGCTTTTTGTAAAACTTTTGATAGATGTGCATCAATTCTTTCAGAGGAATGACAGTACCCCTTCCCTAACCCTACAATACCCCCTCTACAGTAACCCTTACCGACTGATCCGCATCCTCCTCCACCACCAGCGTGATCTTCTTGTTCTTAAAATCCAACTTCTGCAGTTTCTCCCACAAAAACAACCCAATCTTCTGTCCACCATCAAACACCAACATTCCTTGAGGGGTTAGACCCAATCGGTACGTATTACCGTCTTTTCCCTCGACACAATGCATATCCACTCCGTACATTTCGATCCAACGTGCCTTATTCAGGTAGTTCAACTCCGCTTGGGCGGGAGTTTGTCCTCTGAAAAAATTGGGATTGACTACGGTGATCTTGTTACTGTAGTCTGGGTTTCACCGGACCTTCCCCAGTCCCTCCCCTCCCGGTGAAAAGAGGGAAGGCGCATTGTTCTATACGCCCTTCCTTCCTTTTTTTTGCTGCGGCTGCTGTGGGGCAGTGGCTAACCCTCCTGTTTTAGAAATTCTCGACCCGGGTTCGATTCCCGCTTGGGTCAAATCTTTTTTTCTTTTTTTCTCAAGTCTTCTAAACCCCCAGTACTATCAAAAATCAAGCAAAAAACTCACCGACACGCCTTGTACTTCTCCAATATCTCGATTTCCATTTTTTCATCTTGCTCCGGATGAAATCGGAATTCTGAGATAAAAAGAGCTGTGTGCTGTTCTGGGTTGTAGTCGCCGAGTTCTGCTGCAAAATTTTCGAAAATAGGGGAGGTTCAGGTTACTGTAGGGTTACTGTATGATTACGGTAGCCTTAAAAAAAATTAAAAACTCACACTGAAGCGCAAAAGCTGCCAACTCGATGCCCAATTGATGTGGACATTGTAGGCGTCCAGCGGAAATGTCGTGCTTGATTTGCAGGAAGAATTGGTATCTGGAAGGAAATTGTGTTTGCGGATTCGGCGTTTTATTTTACGACTGATTGTGAGGGCGCGGCACCCTTCCCCCAGAGAAAGAGAAAGGTTTATTGTTCTGTAAGCCCTCCCCCTCCTTTCTACTTCTTGCCACCGTAGCGTAGTGGGTAGCACTCTCGTTTTTGAATTTCTCAACCCGGGTTCGATTCCACCAGGTGAAAAATATATTTTTTTTTCTATTTTTTTTCTTTTTTAATAGCTTTTTTCTCACCTTGTCAACTCCTCCTTCAAATTACTTGACGGTTCAGAAGTGAAGAACTTCACCCGGAATCTCAGGGTGAATGGAGGCCCAATAGCCACTTGTTTAGCCACTTTTTTACATGGATCCAGCCAATGCTGAACATTAAATTGATCTGTATACTGTAGTCCAAAATAGTCCCGTTCTTCAAGATCCAGGGAGTAGAACACTTCTTCGTAGAGCTCACTTCCAATGGCGTTTCTCTGAAAAAGAAAGTAAGGTTTGTTTGGAGCAGTATATCTTGATTGGGAGTAGAGCTATGAAAAAGTTGTTAACTAAACAATTGCTCAGAATGAAATTTGACACATTTCATTAGTTAAAAACTTTTCTGTATCTCTTCTGGAAACCGAGATATAAAACTTCAAACAGATATGATCACAGCCACAACTGTATTTAATGTTTCGAAGATATTTATCTTGGTTAGGAGTAGAGCTATTGAAAAATTTTATACTAAAAAAAATGTTTATTATGTAATTTTACATATTTCAGCGGTTGACAATATTTTTGTATCTTTCATGACAACTGAGATATAGAGCTCCAAACATGTGGTACTCCAAAAAAAAAACTACTCACCGGCACGACAATATTCAAATGTGCTCCATCCAACAGCAGTACTTTGCACTGCACAAACTTTTTCGTGTCGAAATTGGCATCTTGTGTCTGATTCTTGTGCTGTTGCTGTTGGGGTTGACGGTTACGCGAGAAACGGGCGGATAGACTTCGCAACATCCAGGACATCTGGAAATGTGGAGGTGAGGATGGACAAGGGAGGGGTGCCGGTTTGATAGGGGCTATTTTTTGGGGTAAGCGATGAACTCGATCATCTTGAGTTTGAAATGGTGGGGGCTCTTCTAAAAGGGAATTTGTTCCTGAAACTCATAGGTGCCCTTCTATTAGAGGTCATCAAATCCAGTTTCAGCGTTGGGGGCCCTTCTAAAAAAGGTACCGGTCCTAGAGCTCATAGGGTCATTGTATTAAAGGTTACAACGAAGGTGCCCTGCTACTACAGTTACGTCATACCTAAATCATTGTATTGCTCAGAATACAAGTAATAATAAACCTGGTGCCGAAATCAATAATATTCGAAATAGAGGGAATGAGTTCTCTCTGCTTTCCCTCACACCGGAATGTCTGCGTCTCTCTAATTCTCTATACTATTTCTCCGGGGCTCCTCTCGCCGGTTACGGTTTTGAACAACGAGAGCAAACGGGGAGTAAACAGAGAGAGTGTAGGGAGACGCAGAGAAAAGGAAACTTGAGGATTGGTCTAGAAGGAGGTATCTATCTGGGACTGGGAATTGAGGGTCTTGGGACTGGAGGGGATGTCCACGTGGAGTACAAAAGTGAAAGGAAACATGTGTGGACCATCTGGTGTCCATTTTACAAATGAAAAAAAGGAATAAAGAGTGACCCAGATGCTCCATTTTATTGTGTTGACCACTAGAAAGAGAGAGAGAGAGAGAGAGAAAAGATGATCGGTGGGAAAGGAGATGCATCTCTCTGTCTTTTTGATAGGTAAAAATGGGAAAAAGTGAGTCATGATGGGTTGCCTTAAAGGCGCATGCAACTCATTTTGGAAAGGTCTTGCTGGTCTCACCACGATTTAAAGAATTACTGTACTTTTACACAATGAGGAAATGTTGAGTTGATGCGCCTTTAAGGTAAATTGAAGCTTTACTCATCTGGAAATAAGTACCTTAAAGGCGCATGCAGTTTTGCTTGGAAGGTCTCGCCCCGATTGGAGTTATTACTGTTCTTTTTGGGAAAAAAAAGAGAAAAAAATACATTATAGGCGCAACGGGTTACTGTAGTTTTTTTCAAACAGGCTGCGCCTTTAAGGTAGAAGCTCAAACTACAGAAATCCCTGGTTTTTGAAGTGGCTTCTTTTTTCTTTAATGAGCAAGCAAACAGATCGGTTTGTAGAGTTTTTTCCCTCTTGTTTCCGCATTTTTTTTCCCTTCTCTCTCTCTCTCTCTCTTCCTTTGGGAACAGAGATCCATCCCTGTATCACAGGATATCAGTGTAGATATGTGCACAAGACACAATGATATACCTTAAAGGCGCACCGAGCCTCGTAGGGGTTACTGTAGGCTTTATGGAGAAAATATACTGTACGATTACTGTAGCCACCATGGTCATCAAGAACTAATGACCGTTTAAAAATAAAATTATCAGTCTTAACCGAAACGTGCTCCCTGGTTTCCAGAAACTCTCTTATTTTTATCTATTTGTGTCTTCTGTGTGTATGCTCCAAAAAAGAGCACAACACTTGAATACACAAAAATGATTCAGAGTTTATGCTCTCGCCTCAAAAATTGACATATCGAGTGTCAAAAAACAAGTTGAAAAGGTAAAAAATATGGCTTGTGAATGGCAGAAAAATAACTTTAAATAGACTCAAAAAACTTGAAAATAGCTCAAGTTGGCCTCAAAAATGATTTTTTTTTCTTAATATAGCGTTGAGAATAATCTTAAATAATTGATGAATGGCTCAAATTTCTTATGATCTTCTTGGAAATGACCAGTTCAGACGTTGGATGACTGAAAACTGCCCGCAAAAGAACTCAGAGTTGAGTGGAAATGACTTGAAATGATGCAAAGAAAACTCTATAAAGCCTCAATTACGCTTGAAAAGATGCAAGAAACTGAAGAAAATAGCACAAAATTGACCTTCAAAATTACCTCAAGAAACAGTCGAAAAGGGGCCAAAATTGAATGAAATTCCTTAAAAATTGAGGCCGGAACCTCCTAAAAGTGACCTCGAGGGGCCTAAAATCACCTAATGCTCGCTGAAAAAGCCTAAGCTTTCACTGATTCTTTCAAAATAGCCTGGGAGCTGTATAAAACTAGAGAGGCGATAAAAATAAAGTGAAAATGTCGGAAAATTTCTCAGAAAAATTTTCAGTATTTTTAGGCTTGAAAAGCCCGAAATTTTCCCTAAACATGAAGCAAAATGAACACGAAATGATTCGGAAGCTAGCTTGGAAATGACCAAAAACTGATCAGAACCATAAGAAAATCAGCTGAAAATCGGCTGAAACGAGTCTAAAATTTGTCTTTACTCTGCTCTTTTGCTCTGATTTTCTGGAATTTTTAGAGAAATTGCCCTTCAATTCTAGGTCCTATCCTAAGTTAAAAACTCACATCCTTAACCGGCTGCTCCCCATCAACAGTCTCGTCTTCCTCATCACTGCTGGACATTTTTAATGATTTTAGCAGAGAAATGAGCACACAATAATAAAATGTTCAGTTCAATTCGACAAGCAAGAGAGAGTGTCCCCCTTTCCGTATCAGCTGGAAGAGAATGCCCTCCTCCTCCTCTTCCCTCCTCAATACTTGTTCTCCTTATCAATAATAATACTTTCTTCTCTCTCTCTCTCTCTCTCTCTCTCTCTCTCTCTCTCTCTCTTTTCCCCCCAAATTTTCAGACAGAGTTCAGACACCCCTTTTACGACAGGGTAGGACGTGTTTCATTCGTATTATTTGTGTGTATACATCTTGGGAGGACGATTCCTTCGAAAAAAAAAAGTGTTCGAAACATATTTTTTGATGACTGAGACCCCTGTCCTCCTCTCTTTTTGAATGGAAGAGGTGATGATAAGATGATGATGATAAGCATGAAGGGGGTGAAAGGTGATATAATCAGTATGTGATGACTGTAGGAGAAAGAGTGAGAGAGAGAGAGAGAGAGAGAGAGAGAGAGAAAAGAAGGGAGGAAGGAAGGAATTACAATGTATTAGTATATGGAATTTGGAGGTCAGAAATATTTTATGCTTTTTTTGTAGAATAGAGAGAAGGGGTGCTTTTAGCTTAAAAGTTATCTGAAAATGGCTACGAATTGGCCTGAAAAGCTCAAAATTTGGATACAGGCGGCCTAAAAATAGCCTGTTTTTGGACAAATTTGAGGCCAATTTCAGGGCAATTGCAGACAATTTTCAGGTCTGTTCGAAGCAATTCTTTAGATTTTTCTATATACTAGAACAGGGTTGTGAATGGCTCAAATAAGACCTCAAAATCGCTTTAAAAAATTCAAAATGTCCTGAAAACAGCATGCAAAAAAACCAAGAAAACATGCTGAGAAATGGCTCAAAGCAGACTGAAATGGCTCAAGAATGGCCTAAAAATGACCAATGAATTTACAAAACTGTCTAATACTAACCCAAAAATAACCTATAGGTACCTAGGTAGAACAGGTCTAAAAATGGACTCAAAATCGCTGAAGAATAGGCTCAAAACGGCTTCAAAATGCCTTCATAACAGCTTGAAAATGGTTTCGAAATGCACAAAAAAGGGCATAAAATCATCGAAAAATGGCTTCGTGATAGCCTGTAATTGGCAGAAAATCG